TTTATGGATTGTTGATTAGTTCCACCAGTTCTTTTGGTTGAGCGTTTGAGATTTCCTATATACGAAAATCATATCCTCTGCAAATAACAACAAATTTACTTCTCTCTTTCTAAAATGGATGTCTTTTATTTCTTTGTCTTGCCTAATTGCTCTAGCTAGGACTTCCAGTACTATACTGAATAAGAGTGGTGAGTAGGCATTCTTGTCTTCTTCCTGATCTTAGAGGAAAAGCTTTCAATTTTTCACCAATCAGAATGTTAGCTGTGGGGCTGTCGTATATGGCCTTTATTATGTGAGGTATGTTCCTTCTATAGCCAATCTGTTGAGGGTTTCCATCATAAAAAGATACTGTATTTTGTAAAATGCTTTTTCTCCATGTTTGAAGATGATCATGTAACTTTTCTCTTTCATTCTATCAATGTGGTGTATCACATTTATTGATTTGCTTATGCTGAATCATACTTGTATCGCAGGAATAAATCCCACTTGGTCCTGGTGTATAATCCTTTCAACGAGTTCCTGAATTTGGTTTGCTGATATTTTAAGAATTTTTTCATCTATATTCATCAAAGATGTTGGTCTAGAGTTTTCTTTTCTCATAGTGTCCTTTCTTATCTGGCCTTGGTATTAGTGTAATGCTGGCCACGTAGTATGAGTTTAAAGCGTTCCCTCCTCTTCGGTTTTTTGAAAAATTTTGAGTAGGATTGGGGTTAAACCTTCTTTAAATGTTTGGTAGAATTTGGCACTGAAGCCATCTGGTTCTGGGGTTTTCGGTGTTGGAAGGTTTTTGATAACTTATTCAATCTCTTTACTCTTTATTGGTCTGTTCAGATTTTCTATTTCTTCCTGATTGAGTCTTGGTAGATTGTGTGTAGCTTGTAATTTATCCATTTCCTCTAACGGTTATATAATTTGTTGGCATATAATTGTTCATAGTAGTCTCTTATGATCCCATGTATTTCTATAGTATCAGTTATAATGTCTCCTCTATCATTCTAATTTTATCTATTTGTCTTCTTTTTTTCTTAGTCTAGCTGAGGATTTGTCAATTTTTCTTATCTTTATGAAAAACCAGCTCTTAGTTCTGTTGATCCTTTCTGTTGATTTTCTGGTCTCTATTTCACTTATTTCTGCTCTGATCTTTATTATTTACTTCCTTCTGTAAATTTTGGTCTTAATTTGCTCTTCTTTTTCTAGTTCTTTGAAGCATAAAATTAGGCTGTTTATTTGAGAGCTATCTAATTTCTTAATGTGTGCATTTATTGCTAAAAACTTCCCTCTTAGAACTGATTTTGAAGCATCCTATAGATTTTGCTCTGTTGTGTTTCCATTTTCACTGTTTTGAGATTTTTTAAAATTTCTCTTTTGGTTTCTTCTTTGATTCATTGGTTGTTCTGAAGTGTGTTGTTCAGTTTCCACATATTTGTAGATTTTCCAACTTTCCTCTTGGTGTTAACTTCTAGTTTGACACTGTCATGGTCAGAACAGATAGTTGGTATGACTTAACCTTCTTGAATTTGCTAAGACTTGTTTTCTGCCCTATCATAGGATCTATCCTGGAGAGTGTTGCGTGTACACTTGAGGCAAATGTTATTCTGCTGCTATTGGATGGAATGTTCTATGTCTGTTAAGTCCATTTGGTCTAAAGAGGGTTCAATTCCAATGTTTCTTTGTTAATTTTCTGTCTAAATGATCTACCCATTTTTGAAAGTGGGGTATTTAAGTCGCCTACTCTTACTGTGTTGTTGTCTATTTCTCCCTTTAGATCTGTTAGTATTTGCTTAATATATTTAGGTACTCTGATATTGGGTTTACTCACATTGAAGAGTAATTAGAGATAAAGTTTGAGGGAGATAGTGGAGCCAGAGTGAGGAGGACCTCTAGCCAGTTTCTATGGTCTTTAGAATTGGGAGTGTCTTGTTGCTAAGCAGTGAAATCTAGAACATAATCAAATGAGAGATGAAAGGGAGGGGATTTTTACTTCTGTCATATAAGGTTTCAAATAAAAATCTTTGTTCATAGAGATCAGTGGTATAAACTATCTATAAATATGGCTATAGCTAGAAAGGACCATGGAAACCACTAATTCTACTGCTGGTAAGTCATTTAAGAATTTAGCTATAAAGAAGAGAGGTACTAATATTTGTGCATACATGAATATACACACACAAACATACACACAAACACATGATTCTCTGCCAATTTTTCATATCGTGAGGAGGGTCTATAACCTTTATTATGTCCTATTCTGCTCTATTTTACTCGGTTGAGAGCCATCAAATTGTGTTTTTAATGGGTTGTAACTCATAGTTTGGAAAAAACTAAATAAGGCTATAAATGAGAGTGAAAGGGGGTGGTATTTAGGGTACAGAGATTGAAAATTTGATGAGGCTGTGGGAAGATTAAAAAGAAATTATAAAAGATGATGTAAGACAGTCTACTTTGAAGTTTCTGTACTATTATGGCACTATACCACATTATTCATGAAAATGTTATATTCTTGAGTCAATGCATAAAATAATGTTACTGGAACAAATGTAGTCTGGCTCAAATATTCTTGGATTTTGTTTTTATATTACCTGCTTGCAAGCTGAAGTCTTAGGAATAAATTCTGACCAATTTATATTGGTTAAGTTCACTCTCAACAGCACTATATTATTCATAATAATTCTTTTCCATCACAATTCATAAGCCATGATAATTATCCAATATATATCGAGATACATGGAGAATAAATAAGTATGTTTTGATTTTACACAGAATTTAGAGGTGTTCTCTTCTAAGATTGCATTTAGGGAGCTTAATTTCTTCTTATGTGTGCTTGGCATTTTGTGAAATATCCCTCCCTTTTAGTACTAGAAAAGTACCCAAGTACCCTAGGAACTCGAGTCACTTTAATGATGAGGATCATGTTCAGAGAAATTAGTAAATTAGATGCTCATTACTTTGAGGTTTGTGCAGGATTGACTTGGGAGTTGGTGTACGAGTAAGAAAGAAAGGTAAATAGTGGTTTACTGAGATGGCTACCAGTTTAGTGGTCTGGAAGTGGCTTATGGAGTCAAAGCAAATTGCAATCAGACATCTGGTCTATATGGCATACAGCGATTCTGAGAATGGAAATCTTTCCCTCTGCTGGGCTTCACATTGATGACTAGTAGGTTTAATAGAATAAAGTAGGAACAAGGAGCTTTCCATGAAGAAATGTGAGTAGAGAGGAGCAAAAGCTGTTGCTTTTCATGAAAGGAAGTTTCCATAAATGACAGCAAAATGATTCCGGAGAAAATAGGTCAAGGAACTTAGAATCAAGATAGAAAGGAATTAAGTAGAAATGGGTAGAGGGTCTAGGAGGTAATGCGTCCTTAATCAGGCATCTTTCATTTTTATATTACCAACTATAGGAAGTGGATTTGATCAGTCTGTACTAGATCCCTTAGAGCAGACTTCACTTTTCTATTTTTTCAACTAGGACAAGGCTTCTTGGTGTCATTACTTTAGGCATTCTTGTTACTTTAATGATCTGATGAAGACTAGATATTCTTACTAGAGAAATAAAAATAAGCACTGTACATGTAAAATTTTGAATGCAATTTTACATATTCCTAATGTGTATCTTTGTCCCAACCACTCTGTCCAAATTTGAGCTCCAGACCATTAAATTATCTAGACCCGTATGTTCATTTATGTTTCCCAAGTGTGTAGGGGAGTGTCTGCAAATGTGTTTTCATTAATACCTTATTCAAAGAAGAAAGCAGCAAATTAGTATTGGCATTGTGCTAGTACCAAGTTTCATTTTAACAAATATGTGATAATACATTTGTGTTATTGAGATAATTTTTGTTTCTATTTTTCATACAAAATATATACATGCATTTTTAATTATGAAATAAATACATGTTAAGGTTGAACTCAGGAACTGGTTACCTTGCAATTTTATAAATGTGGGGATTTGATGCCTTTGCCACTGTAAGACAATATTCCCTTCCCCAAAGCTTTCCTTTCTCCTTTTAGGATTCATTGATTTCCTTTGCATTTCTGAAGAAACTTTATTTTGCATTCAGTATACTCTCATCTCCAACCGTTTCTTTCCCAGTTAGTTTGATTTCCTTCCATTTTATATGGCCAGAAGTTTGAAAAGTATTGTTCTAATTGAGAGTGAAATCAAATATAAACACTTTGGATAACATCCATCTATCAACCCAATATACTCCCCCTTCCAATATCATCATTGTCTATTGTTAGGGAGCTGAGGTGCCATTACAGTAGATACTGACATTTGTGAAAGACAATTGACACGATGACTTTTGCAGTTTCACAGTTTTAGATGAAAAGAGGAATCAGAAAGGAGATAGGACAAGCAATATTTGTTACATGGAAGTATACATTACTGACAATGAGAAAAAATATACAGAAATAATTTTTATATCTCTCCTGAGTAATGTGACTAAATAATTTATCATTTGAAGGTGAAAGGAAGACCCATATATTGATATCTACACCAAGTCCACATGTACAAATCAAGATTCCTTCATTAAAACATGATATATGTTCACATTTCCATTAAGCCCCCTTTTTTTAAAATATGTGTCGTGGAAATGTTCACACATATTCACATATTTAGAGAACAGTATAATGAATCACTATGTGTCCTTCATCTAGGTTCAATACATGTCATCCTATGATCAATCACCATTCTTGTGTACACCCACAGTCTCACTCTGCATCACCATTATTTAAGAACAAACGCAATGCAGTATACTGTCATGTCTTGAGCCAAACACTAACCCATTTGAACCCGTACCCTTCTATTCTTCCTCTATCTTGACCTGCTCATAACCCCCACCTCTGTCCCTGCCCTTCTTTATATTTTTTCCTTTAGTGTTTCTGCTCTGATGGTGTGACTCTGCCAGAGGACAGCACTTTAACAACACTGCATATAGCCATCTCAGAGGGAGGAGACCGAACAGTGATGCTTCCTGCTCTGTCCTCTTTGGCTCTCGTCAATGGCTGAATGTGGGGGCTCCATGATGGCTGACAGTGAGGCCCTGGTGCATGCGAGGATCACTCTCCTGCTGCTCTGGCTGAGGGTGTTTCTGTTCCTTTCTGCATGGTCCCAGGTTGGGCTCTCCCAACGCCATGGTCCCCCAGAAGTGGTAATCCCCTTGAAGGTAACAGGCACTAGTGTTGGCATGAATCCTTTAGGCTGGCTCTCTTACAGCCTACATTTTGGGGGCCACAGACACATTGTCCACATGAAGGTCACGAAGCATTTTCTGTCCAGACACCTCCCAGTGTTCACCTATACAGACCAGGGTGCTCTCCTTGAGGACCAGCCTTTTGTCCAGAATGACTGCTACTACCATGGTTATGTGGAGGGGGACCCAGAATCCCTGGTTTCCCTCAATACCTGTTTTGGAGGCTTTCAAGGAATATTACAGACAAATGACATTGTTTATAAAATCAAGCCCCAAAGGCTTTCTACCACATTTGAACATCTAGTATATATGATGGGCAGTGAGGAAACAGAATCCCCACCCATAAGATGTGGATTAACAAATGAAGAAATAGCACGACAACTGAAGTTTCAAGAGAGTGATAATTCCACTTTAATGCAAACGACGTATGAAGGCTGGTGGATCCACAGGCGGTATCTTGAATATGTATCGGTGATAGACAATAGCCAATATACTCATCGCCGAAGGAATGTCTCGCTTGTGCAGCAGGACGTATGTACTATAGTCCATCTGATGGATAGCATTTATGACCAACTGGGAATGGATGTGATTTTAGTTGGAATAGATATCTGGACTAATGAAGACCACATTGCACTAAGTGATGTACGTAGCACTCTGGATACTTTTTGTCCTTGGAAGAGCGAGAACTTGAATACACGCTTGCCCCATGATGCTACACAACTTTTCTCAAGGGCTGCACATGGTGGTACTGGCTTCTCCCACGTGGAAACAATATGCTCTGGTACTCTTGATTGTGGAGTTGTGGCTTTCAGAACTGACGATATACAGTACTTTGCAACGATGGCAGCACATGAGCTCGGTCATCTTTTGGGTATGCACCATGATGATACGACGTGCAAGTGTGGGTTTACAAACTGCCTAATGGCTGATACACAAACAGTGACACCTAAATTCAGCAACTGCAGTTATAATAGATTTTTCGGCGTTGTAGCATATAGAAGATGTATGGAATTTTCACCAAACCCAGATAGGTTCTTTGCCCAGAAACGCTGTGGGAACAGTGTGGTTGAAGCAGGAGAAAAATGTGATTGTGGCTCCTTAGCATTGTGTGCAAAAGATCCGTGTTGTGACTCAAACTGCACTCTGAGTCGTGGCGCTGCTTGTGCTTTTGGGCTTTGTTGCAGAGACTGCACGTACATGCCATCAGGCACCATGTGTAGAAAAGAGGAAAATGAATGTGATCTTCCAGAGTGGTGCAATGGGACATCCTCTGAGTGTCCAGAAGATGTGTACGTACAGGACGGGTTGCCATGCAAGGGCGGTGGCCACTGCTATGAAAAGAGATGCAATAATCGTGATGAACAGTGTAGAAAACTCTTTGGCAAATTGTCCAGGAGTGGACCTCAGAGTTGCTACCAGCAAGTGAACACCCGAGGTGACCGTTTTGGTAACTGTGGTATAACGGCCTATTCATATACAAGATGTAACATCTCAGATGCCCTATGCGGGAGGGTTCAGTGTGAGTATGTGGCAGGTATTCCTACTCTGAAAGACCATTCTACTTTGCTTTCATCTCACATCAATGGCATCACCTGCTGGGGTACAGACTACCATCTTGGAATTACCACACCCGATGTTGGTGAAGTGAAAGATGGTACAGATTGTGGTACAGATCATATCTGCATCCGAAGGAAGTGTGTCCATATATCACATTTGGACAGTCAGTGTACACCTCGGTTCTGCAATTTGAAAGGAGTCTGCAACAATAGACACCACTGCCATTGCAACGTTGAGTGGGAACCTCCCACCTGCAGGGAGGAAGGCAGTGGAGGTAGTCTTGATAGTGGCCCACCCCCTCAGAGAAAAGTGATTGAAACAGAAGAGGAAAAGAAAGAGCCAGGGAAGAGTTACCTGACACTATTGTGGTTGATTCCTTTTCTTGTTTTATTATGTTCAATAATTTTTCTTTTGAAGAGACTCCAAAAAACAAATGAAAAAGAACAGCAGCAGAAATAGAGCAAAATGTTTCGACTTCACCTTAGAAAGGACAGCAAAAAGTTTAGATTTCAAAAGAGAAACCCAATCCCCAATGAACTTTCTCATGTTTGAAGTTTTAGTCTCCTGGCAGTAGAAATGTTACAGTATGTGTCATAATCATTGACAGAAAATCTCTGAGATTTTCTATCATTCGGGATCATAAACATTAGGCATTAAAAAATTAACAAAATAGCATATTTCTACTTTCCATTATTTTAAGCAATTTTAGTGGTTAATTTTTCATGGAATTAGTCTCTTTGTATTTCCTGAGCAAAGGCACAGCTCATAGATGGGGTGTGTGTGTGTGTGTTTAATTTGCTGTCTCTCAATATCAAACATCTTCCCCTTTGTACTCTGCTTTGTCACACAGGGAATGGGAACCTACAAATCGCATTGCATCTTTGTCAGTCATCTCCCTACTACTTTCTGCCAACAGGGGGAACTACAAGGAGACTGGAAACCTAGAAAATTTTTGGATTGCTGTTCATGTCAGGGTTGCCTCATTAACAGCTCTGACCTTGGCAAAGACAGTACCTTTCAGTATGCATACTATTTATATATTATATATATAGAGAGAGTATACTATACTTACACACACACACATATATATATATATTTTTTGTTGTTGTTAACTCCCAGAACCAAAAGTAGTGTCATTCTCAGTGTTACTGGCACAGCTACCAAGCATCTTACCCTAAGAGTTTTGAGACCCAGGTCTTTGAGTCCTCCACCAAATCCTGAGGTTTCAGCACCAGTTTGGCTAACCCTCTCCTCAGAGGTCGAAGTCCTAGATGCAAGGGACCTATGCCAGAGGTGTAGGTTCAAATAACCCCACCTCTTCCTTTTGATCTCCAATCCTAGGAATGATAGCTGCATCTTCTTAGTAACTCACGTTTTATCTCAGTGGTGTCATTTCCCTTTTTGTGACTGAACTCTGACTAACATAGTACTTATCTTGGTATAAGGGAGAACGCAGGAAGGAGACTGACAGCAGGTTTGAATTTTTCATACCACTGCCTTTACCATCTTAGGGACATGATTTACACTTTCATAGAATTACTTCAAAATCTGAAAAGATAGGAAAATAATTCTTGCCACCCAACTTCTTTGTAACTTTAGTTATAACATAGGATAAAGAAGATAGTTACAATTCTATACGGGATATATAAGTCTTGGCAGACCATGATTCCTCTAGGAAAAAACCTAAAAAATTACAATTTAATTTAAGAACTATTATATTTTGGACACAAGACATAATAAAAAGAGGCTTATCTCAAGCACATGTAGTGTCTCCTCATAATGCACTTATCTGATTTTGATGTTGCATATTGCAAGAGGTTGGAGAGCTGGGTTGTGAACCTCTAGGCAATAGGGATTAATCCCCCATAATCTTTCAGAGCTGAGAAAATAGAGCCACATAAACTCACAACTGAAAGCCTAGCAGGCCCATGCCTGAGCAACATCAGAAAAGGAGAATTAGTCCAAGATATACCAAACATACCTCTGACCTGGCACAATCCACGATTGGATTTAGGGAACCAGCTCCTTAGTGTATCTTCCTAACAGAGGAAAGAGAAAACTCTCCAGAGGAGCCACCTGGAGCTTCTACGGTTGTTTTACACAGCAATCACCTGCATACAGTAAAACATTATCATATATGCAAAGAGTCAAATCTTCTGACCTATTACTAAGAGAAGGAAAAAAAGAAGGAAATAAAAGAAGGAGAGACTACAGGTAGTGTCAGGATGATCCAGATAGTGGGGCAAGTGTACACACAAAAAAATAACTATGATTAATACATTTTAAAAGAGAAGATGGGGCTGGCCCCACGGCCTAGTGATTAAGTTCTGCATGCTCCACTTCGGCAGCTGAGGTTTGGTTCCCAGGCCCAGACCTACACCACTCGTCACTGGCCATGCTGTGGCGGCAACCCACGTGCAAAATAGAGGAAGACTGGCATGGATGTTAGCTCAAGGCGAATCTTCCTCAAGCAAAAAGAGGAAGATTGGCAACAGATGTTAGCTCAAGGCGAATCTTCTTCAGCAAAAAAAATAAAAAATAAATAAGATAAAATAGAAGAAAAATATACAAAATACAAGAAAGTATATAGAATATTCTCAGTGAGGTGGAATCTATACAAAAGTATCAAATGGACATTTTAGAACTAAAAATTACTGTGTACGGTAAGAATTCAGTGGATAGTTTGAAAAGTGGTTTGGACCTATCAGATTACAGAATTACTCACATGGAAGACGGGTCAACAGAAAAATCTTCACAGTGAGGTACACAGAAAAACAAAAACACAAAAATGAGAGCGTAAGAAATATATGGAATATATCAAAAGCTCTAACATCCCTAATGTTGGAGACCTAGAGGTAGTGAAAAGAGAGAATGAATAGAAATAATATTCAGCAGATACTTGTTGGCAATTTTTTTAAAAGGGAGAAAAGGTATCAACCTATTGCTTCAGAGTAGGTCACTTACGTCTCAGAGACATGGTCAATTTTCCTTTCTTTTGTTTCTTCAGATTGTGAGATTCTTAATAATCTGTCTTCAAGTTTGCTGATTCTTCTGCCTGCTGAAGACTTCTGCTAATCTCCCTCACCAATTTTTTTATTGTGATTATTATACTTTTCAGCTCAAGATTTCCCATTAAATTCTTCTTATTTATTTGTTTATTTATTTATTTTAGATTTTACGTCTTTACTGATATTCAGAATGGCTTATCTACGGCTACTATTTGGTCAGAAGTTGTGCTTAATCCCCTTAAGCCATTGAGGCCTCTATCCTTTGTTGATGAATTTGATTGTGGCCTGAGAATGTTTCAAATCTGCTGTATAGCATACTCTGATTGCTACTGAGTGGATGCACCTTAGCACATGTGCACAGCCTTCTAGACACACAGTGATGAGTGTGTTCCAGGAGGAATCTTGTTGGCTCTCTTTCCCTTGTCTCTTTGTTAAATTTCTGGTGGATTGCCATTTTGCTTGTTGCTATTAGGTTCATGGAGTTGACAGCCCACTCTTAATACTTAGCACCAAAATCCATTCTTTTCAACAATATCCTTATTCATGAACTTCACCATTCTCTGTACCAAATAAAGTCTGTCTCCTCATCAGAGCTCTCCCTATGACCTGCCTCTCTCCCAGCAGCACATCTATGCCACTACACAGGAGCTCTAGGTGTAGACAGTATATCTCTCTATCAGAGTGACATTCCCACTCCACAAGTTGATGCAAGAGGAAGATGGTAGATCATGGTCTTCTTAGCTTGCCCCTCCTGGCTTAGAACAGTTGCTCTACAAATGAGCTGGGTCAAGTAAAATTGGGGACTCAGTATTCTAGGCCTGCTGTGCCTGACGCATAACTCTCATCGTTTAGTGAGAGCTGGGGAATTAAATTTGTTCATGTCCACATAATATATAATTTCCAAAACAGGAAGCTATGGCAGGAATAGGTAAGTGTGAGGTCTGCTCTACTCGGGTGAAACTATAGCACCAGACTGGGAGCTTAGGGTTGAATGAACCCCCTTTGTCTTGGCGACATCTGTCCAGAATACAGAAAATAACACAGACCTGGAGGGAGAGATTGTGTTATAGGTCAAATGCCACAGTTTCTTTTAGCTATTATCAAGTTTTACAAGATCTGTTTGGACAAATGTTTCTCCATTTCTCGTATGCCTTTAGATCAATTTCCAGAAACATTAATTTTTAAAAAAATTTCCAACAGTTAAATGATTGTGCACTAAGGAGAGGATATACTTAGCTCTTCACACAAGCACTCTAGAACTCCCACTCACCTTACATTTTTAAGAAAAAAAACAGTACCAGATATCCAGGACTATTCTAAAGCTATAGAAATTAAGATAGGCACTGACCAGTGAAAAAGAACAGAGAGACCAGATGGACATTTTAATAGCTTGCGCTGGTCAGTTGATATCCATGTGAAAACAACATATCTTTACCTTTACCTCACACTGTACACTAAGATCAATTCCAGATGGATTTAGGATCTAAAGTCAAAAGTAAGTCAATAAAGCTATCAAAGGAAAACAGAGACAGATGACTTTAAGACCATAGAGAAGGCAAAGTTTACTTGAACAAAAACAAAATCTGTAAGTGAAAACCTTACTTGCTAAATAGGACAGTAAAAATAAGAGTGTCTGTTGTACAGAAAACACCATTAAAGAAGGAAAATGCAAGCCACTTGGATATTTAGAGAATATATTTGCAAAATGCATATACGAAAAATGATTCATATACAGAATATATGGGACTCTTGCAACAACACTATGATATTAAAGACAGCCTAATGGAAAACTGGCCAAAGAACACAGTCACTTCTCAAAAGAGGATATCCAATAGCCAGTAAACATATAAAAAGGTGATAAACTTTGTAGTTACCAGGGAAATGCAAATTTAAACTGCATTTTGATCACATTTTATACATGCCAGAATGGCTAAAATGAAAGTTTGATTGAACATATCATATGTAAGCAAGGTTATGGATAATTAAAACTCTAATACATTGGTGCTGGGTGTGAAAGTTGGTAGACACACATTGGAAAACTGCTTTGAACTACTTCCTATGCCTGAATATATTATATATTGTGAGCAATTCAGTCTGAGTTATAGGCCCAATGGAAATTTCTCCACATGTTCACTGAATGTCATGTACTACAATGTTCATAGAAATACTAATAAGAATGGCCCAAAACTGGAAACAAACAAATGTCCATCAAAGGTAGCCTGGATAAATAACTTGTGTTATATTCACACGCTAGAGTACTACACAGGAACAGGAAGGAATGCTTTACCAATATATGTTACA